GTTTTATATTTATTCATTTTGTGTCATATGTATAGGCATATGTGTCATGGAACACATGAGGAGGTCAGAGAACCACTTGGGGGAGTTGATTCTCTCTTTCCATCACTTGCATTCCTGGGTTTGAAATTAGGTCCTCAATCTTGGTAGCGAAGACCTTTGCCTACCAGACAATCCTGCTGGCCCAGAAATTTTAATATCAGTTCTTTAAATCCATGATAGGGGACATTTGTTTATAGTTTATTTACTTTGCTTCACCAATCTTTTATAGTTTTCAGTATATTAATGTTTTATCACCCTGGTTAAATTAATTCCTAAATGATTTAATGTTTTTGTTGGTATTGTAAATGAATTGTTTTTCACAGTTTCTTTTTTACTAGTTTGATCTTAATATATAGAAATGCTACTGATTTTTGTGGGTTGACTCTGTAGCCTGAAATTAATTTTAACGATTTTCTTTAATAGACTTTTAAAGCTTTCTATATGAAAGAGCATGTCAATTTAACCTTTTTCTTTATAACATGTATATCTTTGAATTAATTATTTATTTCTCTCTTTCTTATTGTTCTATCCAGTACTAACTGTATGTTGAGCGGTACCAGCACAAAGAACATTCTTGTGTTGTTCTGATGTAAGAGGAAAGGAAAAGCTTTGTCTTTCTTAATAGTTGAGTATAATGTTTCTACAAGCATGTCATATATGGCCTTTGTTAGATTAACATATGTTAACATACCTGGGTGGTGGTGGCACATGCATTTAATCTCAGGCAGAGGCAGGCAGATCTCTGAATTTGAGTCCAGCCTGGTCTATAAAGCGAGTTCCAGGACAGGCATGGCTACACAGAGAAACCCTGTCTCCAAAACAAACAACAACAATAACACAATAACAACAACAAAAGATACATTACTTCTATACTTTGCTAGTATCGTGGAAGGACATCCAACTTTGTCAATTCTTTTTTCCATCTGTTGAGGTGATCATACAGTTTTTGTCCATTTCGTCACACTATCATGTTTATCGATTGGCAGGTATCAAGCAGTTTGCACTAGTTCGCTGTGACTAAATACCCATGAGAAGCAACTAGAGATAGAGCAAGTCTAATCTGGCTTACAGTGTGAAGGAAGGGTCACCGCCCATTATGGTAGAGAAGACAGCGGCAGTAGAATGAGGCAGCTGGTGACATTGTGTCTAAGGCAGCAGGCAGCAGGTGGGAAGTGAGACCAGGACCATCCCCCCACAGCGATCTACTTCCTACAGCAAGAGTCCACCTCCCCCAAGGGTTCCACAGCCTCCTAAAATAGCATCACTAACTGAGGCTCAGGTACTTCAACACAGAAACCTATGGGGGACTTTTCATGTTTAAAGCACAAGCATTGCTCCTTTGGCCCTCATAGACACACGACAATCTCATGACTTGAAATGCATTCTCTCCAACTTAAAATTTCCTGTGGTCTTTAACAATCCAAAGTCTGTTCAAGGTCAAAGGTCTCTTCTGAGACTCAAGGCAGGCTCTTAACTGTGAATGTCCCTGTTACATTAAAACAAACAAACAAACAAACAAACAAACAAACAAACACCTCCAAACAGCAAGGTATATACTTCCAACATACAATGACCTGAAGTCAACATTACCGTTCCAAAAGGGAGGATTGGGACATAACAAGGAGAGACCAAATCCCATTAAGGCAAACAACAATTTGGCTTCTCTGTGTCCGATATCTGGGCCTCATGATGAAATCATCTAGGATGCAACAACAAAGAGTAAGCTCTCCCCTCTGCCACTGCAGCAAACGTGCCCTCTCTTGTGGTCCAGCTCCATTCCATACTGTGACTTGTCTCGATGGGCATCCTATAATTTTGATATCTCCAATAGCCTATGATCTACATTGCTAGCTTGGCTTTATTTTGCTGCAAAATTGGTACCTCATGGATGACACTATCAAGTTACGCTGTCAGCTAGACATAGCCTGCCCTAGCTTGGGCCAAAGCTGTAGTGGCCTCTGTATTGGTTGCTGAATTAGGAAAACATGTTTCTAGGCAACTGTTTTTGATTAGGGAATTCCTTTAGTTATATTTTCAATTCAAGGCCTCTCCTTGAAAATGTATTTGCATCATCTTAAGATGGAATGGGTGAAGGTTGTGGTCTTATCCTCAGGGCACTTTTCTTATTGTCCTGGGACAAAAAAATGTTTCTTTTTTATGATGTTAACCTCTTCAGTAGTTTCACTGCAGTCTCAGGACCTGCCTTATCTACAACATTAAATTTGTTCATAATCTTTTCTTCATAAAATTGCATGATTTATGTGCTTGTTTCTGCTCCACCTGCTGCTCTTTTTCACCATAGGAGAAGAATAATGTGCAATAACCATGCCACAGCCTGAAACTGACTATTGCCGAACAAATTAGGCTGTGACTTTTGAATCCAGCCCCATGTAAGTTCTTAGAAATGGCCAAAATGAACGCAGATTCTTCGCTACAATATCACATGAATGACCTCCAGCCTGGTTCCCTATTGACCCCCGATTCCTCTCTGAAACCTCAAGAGCCAGTACTCCGCTATCTATCACATTTCTTTCAGAATTCTCATCTCCCAAATGCCAATGAGAACGGCACATTAAGCTCTGCTTTACAGCAAGCATTCTGGATCTCCTCTAGCCTGCAGCCCCAAGATTTCCCGAGCCACTTCCAAAGGTTTATCACAGCAGCAACCCCACTCCTGACACCGACTTCTGTATTGTACGGTCCGAAGAAATGCTGAAGGAAGACCCCAGACTCAAGTACTATGAAAGAACAAAGAGCATTTATTACACCAGCACGCATGTGGGGTTGTTCACCTGTACAAAATGGCAACGACCCCGAGAGGGACATGGAGGCTCATTTTAAGCACAGCTGAGGGGAATTTTAGGGTCAGCTACATAATTAGCTTAAGCAAGCAGCAGTTACATTAGTATATTTCTAATTGGCTGAGGTTTAGTCTTCTCATTTTTGGACACATCTGCACAAGCTTGGACATGGCTTAGAAGAGGGTTGCTGGTTTGTCCTTGAGATTCCATGAGGCTGACTTAGACCCTCTGTGTTTGCTCTCTCCCTCGACCCTGAATGTAAGGACCTTGTAGATAAATGGTCCTTTGTTGGAAAAGACATATGTTTACCCTTCTCAGAGAACTGGAACCTAAATTCAGTTGTGAAAGTAGGAGTGTTTAACCCCTTCAGAATAAATAATGTTTCTTGTTGCTGTGACCAAACACCTTACAAGAATTTACTTAAAGGATGAAGAGTTTGCTTTGGCTTACAGTTTCAGGGTTACAGCTATTGAGGCAAGAAAGGCATGGCCATAGAAGTTTGATGTAGTCACATTGTATCTGCATCCAGGAAACAGAGAACCAACGGGAAGAGAGTCTGGGCTATAAAACCTTACAGCCCACCTCCAGTGACACACTTTCTCCTGTGAAGTTTCATCTCCCAGTGTTTGTCAACTTTCCAAACAGCACCAACAGTTGGGGACCAAGTGTTCAAATTACCCAAGTCTATGGGGACATTTCACACTCAAACAGTACATTCATGCATTCCAATGGGAAATTCTACTTTGTCATGTTTTCTCTTTCAAAATAAACGATTAAATTTAATTGTTACTGCCCTGTTGAGGAGTCAGTCCCTATGTCTATCAATAATGTTGGCCTATAGATTTCTTTTCTTATAGTATCATTGTCTGGTTTTGGTCATAAGTAATGTTGGCTCTACAAAATGAGTCTGGGTGTTTTCCTTCCTTTTCAACTTTTTAGAAGAGCTTGAGAAGTATTGATATTAGTGTTTTAGTGATAAACCACTGGCTTTTGGTTTTTATTTGTTAGAAAGTTTTAAAATTATTTCTTAAGTTATTAATTATTTGGGGGGGGGTAGTTTTTTAAGACAGGGTTTCTCTGTGTAGCTCTGACTGTCCTGGAACTCACTCTGTAGACCAAGCTGGCCTTGAACTCACAGAGATCTACCTGTCTCTGCCTCCCAACTGCTGGGATGAAAGACATGCATCACCACCACCCATCTAGTTTTTGATTATTAAGTCAATCTGTTTATGTATTATTGGTGTGTGTTGAGAGGTTCTATTTCTTCACATTTCAGTCTTGGTAAGTTGTTTACCTATTTATTTCATGTTATTTAATTGTTGGTATAAATTTTTACAAAGTTGTGTCTTATGATCCTTTATGTTTCTATAGACATAATCTTTGTGTTTCTATAGACATAATCTCTCCTGTACACTTTTATTTATTTAAAACTTTTTGCCTCTGGATAGATACTTACAGAGTTGTTCATTTGTCATTTCAGAAAGACAATTGTTAGTTTTTGAGTTTTTTTTTCTTTAATTTTTGCATGGTCTTTCTATTCTTTATTTCAATTATTCTGCTTTAATATTTATTTGTTGTTGAATATTTGTTTAACTAGGCAAAGATGTGTTACATTTGTTCATGCTGCATTTGTTAACTGTGTAAAGATGTGTTGCATTTGCACTAATTAAATAAAATTAACCTGGGCTCAGAGGGGCGGGGTTAGCAAGTGGTTGACAGGAAGCAGCAGGAAGGAGCTTAACATGGGTTTCTTTCATTGGGGAGGTGTGGAAGGGAGCAGCTTCCAGGATGCCAGCAAAGAGAAAGTTAGCCAGTTGGCACTCTAACTCTCTGAGCTCACAGGTTTTCACTCTAGCCTTTGAATCTTAAGTTTTATTAGAAGGATAGAGATTTAGTTAGCACTACCTTTAGTGGCAGCCACAGAGCCATTGTGTTGGGGAACAGAATTCCCCCCAGGTTATGGCCTTAGCGGTTGGGCAGCTAGTAGTTTAAAGTACAGCCGATGTGAGGAGGGTAAAACAACATTTATCATTTATTATTTCTTACCTTCTGATAACATTTAAATTAGCATATTATTATTGCCATTATTGCTGCCCTGGTTTGGTTCCTTGAAGTCTATTATTAATTTGTTTGTGATCTTTTTACCTTCTTTTTGATTAGGTCTGGTGTTTTCAGATAGAGTCTGTTCAGAGCTCCTGATTATGCCCAGCCAATGAGGGAGGACCCCACAATGTCACCAAATTGCTATCCAGAGCTCCTGATTATGTCCAGCCAATGAGGAATGACCACACAATGTCGCCAGATCAGGACTCAGCTGGGTGCTGGGAGGAGGGTGTATAAGGCTTTCCCCATTACTGAATAAAGGAGTCTGCTGTTTGCCTTTCACCTGACTCCCAGGATCTGTGTCATTGACTCCGCACCTTCTCACCCTCTCCCCGAAGGAGCTGTTAGGACCCAGCAGCATCTCCCTACATAGCTCAGACTAGCTTCTGGCTCTTTAGCCTTCTATTTGAGTTTCTTGAGTACTAGGAGCATAAGCAGACATGACTATACTCAGTATTTATCTGAATGTGAGCATGTATTGCTTCAAATTTCCATTTTATGATTGTCTGTTGCTCTTCATAGCTTTTGGTGTAGTTTGATTTAATTTTTACTTTTTAGATACTTTTATATTTCTCTCTTGCTGTTTTGTTTGACTCACTGAATTTTTCAGGAGAACATTGCTTGATTTCCACGTTTTTGAATTTTTGAAAGTTACTTCTGTTATGATTTATAGTTTCATTTGTGTTTGAAAAAATGCCTGATACAATGTCTTTCTTCTTTTAAAAAAATATTTCTCCTATTTTTATGTGTGTGTGTGTGTGTGTTTGTGTGTTGTGGATTTTATATGTACATATGAGTAGGTACCAGTGGAAGCCAGAAGACACCATCAGATCTACTAGAGCTGGAGCTACAGGTGGTTGTGAACTGCCCAGTATGGATGCTGGTGGAACTGAACTCCAGTTCTCTGCAAGAGCAATAAGTGCTCTTCACTGCTGAGCCATTGCTTCAGTCTCCCCATTTTCCCTAAAACAAACAAACAAACAAAAAATGAAAAGAAAAAAAAAGACTTTATTTCTTCTCTCAGTTCTATATCCTGGAGAATACAACATTTTCACTTGAGTCAAATGTATATTTTGTTCCTTAATGAAATGTTTTGTCTATAACTGCCTGCCCTACTTGGATGATAGTATTATTCAAGTCACTTGTTTCTATTTCTTTTTTCTGTTCAGATGACCTGAACATTGTTGGAAAGGAGACACTGAAATCACCTTCTATTATTGTACTTCAGTCTATTTCTCCATTTAAGGTTTTTTTTTTTAAATCCTAATGGGGAGATATTAATTCACACCATCATAAAGTTTATGGTCAGAAGCCAAACTATTGTAAGTTGTTGTGTTTCCATATTTCAACTTGATTTTACATTTGTCTTGGAGGTTGGGCCATGATTCACAAATATGCAATTCTGAAGACAATAATTCTGAATATTGGAATCCTCAAAGATCAAAATCCTCCAAGTACGACTTAAAATTCATTTACATTTAAAAGAAGATTTGAGAAGCATGGAAAACATACCACCTTATCTAACAAAATAGGCAATAAGGAAAGATGTAGTTTTATAAGCATAATGTTCAAGTACTCTTATGGCATTATCATGAGCATAAAGGTCACCAACAGTGAAATCAGTCATGGAGAAAATAGCTCTGAAGTGAACTGTATAAACACATGTCACTATAGCTGATAATTGTGCTCACCAACTTTATATGTGCAGTCGCCTGTGGTAATGTGGTAATGGAGATCAGTCAAAAGTGGCCATTCTTGATCACAAAGCCAGCCAGCACTCATTCCCAGGGACCCCGGGGAAAAGAAAGACAGCTCACCCTGGACTCCAAACATCTGGTTTTTCCTCTGGAGCCAGCTGATGCATACTGGGATAGTGGTTACAGCAGAGGTAGCAACTGAGCTGCACTGAGACCCTTCCCCAGGTCAAGGGACACAGTATAGATTTTACTGCATTGAAGGCTAAAGGAGCTGGTGGTTGGGGCAGGATGATTTGTACTGATAATAGTAATGGATGGCCATCAACAGCCTTCAAGCTGCTGGAGCGAGCTAGGGCTTCAGTCCAGGATCTGGGTTTGTCTGCGTTCTCTACCAACCCTGTTGTCTCAGAACCACAGCCCCTCTTGCCTCCATGTGGCATTGTGTTGAGATCTGCAGCGCCTCTGGAATATCCCCTGGTTTGGGCATGATGTTCCAGCCCCTTTGGGGTAATGTTTGGAATAGCAACCACATTTTGGACATGTGAATGAGGCCACACAACTGCACTTGGCTTGTTGGCACCTTCACAAAACTGTCTTCTTCTTCCACAAAATTGCCTGGAAGTAATAAAAGGAACCTCAGTCTCCAAAATAAATTCATGGTTGGTCACCAGCGACTGTGGACTCAGGCAAAATGTGATCCTAGAAATTTTATGGTTCACAAATGTAGATATACAAAAAGGACCTTTTTTCATTTATTGAAGAGATTTCTATTTTTTTTATAAACATGCAGAATTCTTACACACAAGGCCAACTTTGTGATAATGTACTTTTATGGAGTTAAATCAGCCAAAGCGGGGGGGGAGGGGGGAGGTTGCAGGGGGGAGAGAAGAAGAAAGGAAAAAAGAAAAAGAGAAAGAAAAAAGGCACAAAGTGAAGTAGATTAGAACTCTCTAGATGTCTTTGTAATCTATACTCTCCCTCCCATATTAGAAAAAAATGGATTGGTGAAATGTATAGCATAGGATGGTAAGAAATGCTGGTAATTAAAAATAGTAGAAAAACTATAAAATAAGATAAAGACCAAGGAGAAATAAATTTATGATGAAAAAGTATGATAGAGTCATCGATTATGAGCAGCTCAATGAGGTGGTTCTCCTAGCGCAGGCCATCTTTTACAGTCACTGTGCTTTCAAGTCCTACATCATGGCAAAGCTGACTTTTTAAGGCCATGGCTGTCCTTGAGGAACATATTTACTCTTATTTGTTCTGCAAGGCTGCTCTACTTGATAGTCTCCTGTGAACTGGTATCCACCAAGGTGTATATTCCCTACGTAATTTCTCCACAGCTAGGGCCACCCTTCTGTGCTGTTTTGGGAACACAGAGAAATCCATTCCCTGTTTACTCATATACAGACCTCAGATTTTATGGAAACAATACTAGTGATCAAAAAACACCATTGCGTAAGTGCCTTCTCGCCCTACCCTGAACATAATTACTTTCAAACTGGCCAGTAACTCTGCTGGCTTCTTGCAAATGTGGCTTGAATTCATTAAGAGCTCCTGGATTTTCATCAGCTGGAAGGAATGTCAATGCAGACAAATGACGCATTTTGACATTAAAATTTTTGTCATTATCATGTGGCCAATCCACTTGTCAAAAATTTCCACCAAATACCCTGGGTTGAATGAGGGGGGAAAAAAAACCAAACCTGATTGGTAACACATTGAAATTCACCTTTAAACTCTTTGATTCCATGTATGTCATAACCACGGATTCAGATGAAGTTTATTTTCTCATCAAAGTTTGCAAAACATTCCAATACCATCCAGGATGCTTCACTTTCATTTCGAAATACAGAAACAAATGGCTAGGTTCTCTGATTTTCCCTGGTGGTGCACACATTGTGTGTATCTGACTTAAACATAGTGGAAACAGTTTTGAAAACGCAATGGCCAGCCAGCTACAGCAAAGCATGCAGTAGTTTGTCTGTGTTATATTTAGTAGTTAGTAGGAGAAGTCTGCCTCTTTCAACAGCTGAGTCACTAACCAAGACTCTACTGACTTCTCAGTCTGCTTCGTCACATGGTAGGGGACTAATCAGCAAATGTCTTTGACCCAAATTCACTTCACTCCCTGACACACTATGTATGAAAGGGGCACAGACAATACATGATTGAATAATTTGGCAACTGCTCTGGGCACAACCAAAGAAAGCACGTGTTCTTTACCAGAATTCAGCTTTCTATTCCTTTTACATAGTATTTTTAGTTTTCATGGAAATGGCCATTATCATGCTGCAGGCTTTCAGGATTTCAACATTTGGAACATTAAATATTTTGTTATTATGACTTGGGATTTTTATCTTTGGATATTTGGGTCTCAGGATTTCAGTGTCGGAGGGGTTATAAAATTCAGAACCTTGTCTTTTCGTATGTTGATTGGTACCAACCTTTAATAATTCACCTTATCAAATAGGTGAGTTCTGTAATTCAGAAGTTCTCATATTGTTACTTAGTTTCATTTCTTTTTATTCCTTGTGGGTCACATATAATTACAGCACACTCACCCAGATTTTTTAGTTTATGAATGTCTTTTATGTCTTTATCACTGTCTCTCATTCTTGTCTAAAGAATAGCTTTGCTGGGTATAGAATTCTTGTGTTTTTTTTTTTTTTTAATTTGGTTTTTAGTACCTTGACTGTATCATCCCATTATCTCTTTTAAAGTTTTAGCTGGTAAGTCAGCTGACTTATGTATATATCTCTTTTCTCTTTCTACTTTTAAGATAACCTCTTCTCTTTTGACAGTTTGCTCTGTGTCTACTGATATTATTAGTTTTTTTCATTAGAGACTTAAGTTTCAAGTATCCGGTTGTATATATCTCTTAGAATGTAGAAATTTTAATTGATTCTTCCTTTTTTAATTTATTTTTTTAAATTAAAATATAACCATAGTAACTCTTTCTCCTCTTCCAAAATCTCCCATAACTCATGTAGTTGCTTACTTAATCTCATCCTATAGATACATTCTGAGTTTTTCACTTTTCATTTTTGGTTTCTTTAATTGCATAAGATACATTTGAAATCATTTAAAAATATTTGAAAAATGTTCTTGCTATTTCTTCTGCATGGTCTTGGTCTCATCTTCACTGAAGCTTTGCTCTGTGTCTTTCAGTTCTATCGTTATGTTTTTCAGCTCTAGAATTTCTGTGGTTTCTACTTTTAGATATAACTTTGGGTTTTGTTTCTGCATTGTTTCCCCAATTTCAGTTGTCTGTAGCACCTTGCTGGCTCCTTACTATCCCAATAGCCTTGAGTTAGTGTCTGTCATTTAGAGAAAGGTGCTGGCTCCTTACTATCCCAATAGTGTTGAGTTAGTGTCTATCATTTAGAGAAAGGTGCTGGCTCCTTACTATCCCAATAGCCTTGAGTTAGTGTCTATCATTTAGAGAATGAATATCTCTTCTCTTCTTCACAGACTGGTTTCATCAACTGAAGGTCCTTTCCTATTGTCTTCTTGTTGGATTTATGGGGTTGTCTCAGGGATCAGTGGAGTAGAAGTGAGTCACATAGCTGTTGTTGAATCTGCAGCTGGGTCTGTAGATTGCAATGCACCTGGTTAAGACACAAGACTATGTATGATTACCAAATTCTTAAGAGTTATGAGGGTATAAGCAGGGGACTTCCCGTTCTCCCATCTTGCCAACTCAGACATTTACATTTAAAATGAATATTATTGCAATTGGATTCGACATGTCACAATGTTCCTTTTGCTCTATTTGTCCAAATCTTTGTCTATTTTGTTCATATTTTCCCCTGACCTTTAGATTAATTTAAATTAGAAATAGCATATCCATTGCCATTTCTTTCTATCTATAGCTATAATTGGTTTGTTATTTCACTATTTGTTTTATAGCTTAACTTATCATTATATAGCTCAACTGATATTATACTCTTCCTGTGTATTATAAGAAATTTTTGATAATTTCCATTTTCCTGTTCTACATCTTTATATTACTGTGGTCATTAACTCTCCTTAAGTATTCATTATAATTCCATATCCCACTGGTTTTATTTAAGTAAGCAGCCATCCATATTTTTAAAAACAGAAATAATGATAAAGATAATCTTAGATATTTACCCATTAGGTGCCTTTGTTTCTGTATACTCCATATTTCCTTCAGTATTTTTTTCTTTGTCTGCATCACTTTCTTGAATATTTCTTTTCATATGGGTTTACTGGTAAGCAACTTTTTTCAAATTTTATACATAAAGAAGTCTTTACTCTTTTTTTTAAAGATATTTTTACTAGAAGCAAAACATTCTGTGTAATTTTGAGGACTAGGAAAGGCATAATTAAAATAACAGTTTACATCTGTCAAACCTAAATATTATTTGCACTGTAATTGTTGTCCAGTGTTATTCACTTACCAAATGTAGTTGTAAGTTTTCTCTGGTCCCACCCGGTTCCCACAGCCCTGTGGTTCCATAGCCGCTTGGACCCAAATAAACACACAGAGGCTTATATTATTTACAAATGATATGTCCTAATGGCTCAGGCTTCTTGCTAGCTAGCTCGTACATCTTAAATTAACCCATTTCTATAAATCTATTCTTTGCCATGTGGCTTGTGGCTTTTTGGTACCTTTACATCTTGCTTCTCTTCACGGTGGCTGGCGGCATCTCCTCTGCTCTGTCTTTCTCCTTCCTCTCTCTCTAGTTAGATGTCCCGCTTAACCTTATTCTGCCTCACCATTGGACAAACAGCTTTATTTATCAACCAATCAGAGCAATACATATTCACAGCATATGAAACGACATCACCCATCAACCAAATAATAATATGTGTGCAGCTATATGACCTAGAACTATAACCACAGTATCCCATTGCCTATTTGGATAGAAGATGCAGCAATACAGACCACATTAATCACTTTTCTGGTCTCTGTAACCAAATACCTGCTCAAAGTGTTTTGGTTCATGGTTCAAGAGAGAATTCAGTGCATCATGGGAGAAAGGCAAAGATGCAGGGGTGTGAGTTAGCTGGTCACATGGTAGTCACAGCTGGGAAGGAAAGAGAGGGGGAGAGAGGGGCAGGGGAGGGAGAAGAAGAGGAGAGGGAAAGGAGGGGAGAGGGAGAGGAGAGGTATAGGAAAAGAGAGAGAGGAGAGGGAGGAAAGAGGTAGAGAGAGGAGAGGGAAAGGAAGGAAGAGGAGAGGGAGAGGGAAGGGAGAGGTAGAGAGAGGAGAGGAAGAAGAGAGGGAAAGGGAGAGGAGAGAAAGAGGGAGGGGAGAGTTAGAGAGAAAGGGAGAGTTAGAGAGAGAGGGAGGGGGAGAGGGAGAAGGAGAGGGAAAGGGAAAGGGAGTGCTGTGGGATAACCCCTCTGTGTGCTGTGAATATGTTCTATTACCATTGGTTAATAAAGAAGCTGCTTTGGCCTACAGCAAGGCAGCATAGAGCCAGTGGAGAAATCCAAGCAGAAATACAGGGAGAAGAAGGGAGGAGTCAGGGTGATGCCAGCCAGCCTCTGGAGCAGCAAGATACACCAGAGAACAGGTAACACCACGAGGCCACGTGGCAAAATACAGATGAATAGAAGTGGGTTAATTTAAGTTGTAAGAGCTAGTTAGTAATAAACCTGAGCAACAGGCCAAACAGTTTGTAATTAAGCCTCTGAGTGATTATTTTTTTTTTTTTTCCTTTTTTTTCCGAGACAGGGTTTCTCTGTGTAGCTTTGTGCCTTTCCTGGAGCTCACTTGGTAGCCCAGGCTGGCCTCGAACTCACAGCGATCCACCTGGCTCTGCCTCCCGAGTGCTGGGATTAAAGGCGTGCGCCACCAACGCCCGGCTGAGTGATTATTTTTTAAAGCGGCTGCAGGACTGGGCAGGACAGAAAAACCTGAGTTTACAAGGGAGAAGAGAGGAGAGGAGTGGGAGACGGAGAGAGGGAGAGGAAGGGGAGAGGGGGACGTGCAGGCTCTGCTGAGTGGAAATCCCTCTGTTTCTTTTTATTCGGCCCAGGACCACCTTCTAGAGGGTGGATGTCCCTCCTCGGTGAAGTGGGTCTGCAGATGCCTCATACCCATCCAGTGCTGCTTCTCCTAGGCGACTCCACGCTGAGTTAGGCTAGACATGGAAGTTCACTTTTCCTAGACTGTAGGAAATGCTTCATGCTGGTATCTGAGAGGAACAAATCAGCACTTTGTTACAGTCATTCTGGAATGTCTTTCTCCTTTTCTTCATCATTTGGCATAGTCTCGTTTTGAAGATCAGGCTGGCCTTGAACTAAAACTGCTTCGAGTCCCCTGGGCTGGTGTCACAGCATGGGCTATGCAATGTCTGGCCCAGGAACGTCCCCCAAATATGCTTGGAATGAGATTAACAACGTCTTACTATGTAGTGTAAGGATTGTTCTGCATTAGAAACAGACAGATGTGCTTGTGACTTTCCATGATATCAGAGTTTGTTCAATAACAATAAATTCACAAAAATGGCAGTTTCAAAGGCCAAATTTGCCTGATAATCTTGCTTTCCTTGGTAATTTGGCTGAGGCAAAGCATTTTTTAAAGTTCAATTTTAATTACTAATATTACCTCTCTTAAGACATATCATGGAGTAAATCTCTGTCTCTATCTATATCTATATCTATATCTATATCTATATCTATATCTATATCTATATCTATATCTATATCTATATCTATATCTATCTATCTATCTATCTATCATCTATCTATCTTATTAAATGGTGGATACAGAAGATTAAAGAGGCTACAGCAGTATATTAAGAGGCTGCAGAAGTAGTCTATAGGAAGGTAAATAGAATCCGCATTGATAAGCTATGGGACCCAAGCCCCCAGCAGAAAAGAAGTCACCACTGTAGAGTCAGGCTGTGGATCACAGGGTTGAGAGCAACGATGTGGAGAAGATTCCAGCTAAGAGGTAGAGATGTGCAGGACTAGGTTCTGGCGTGGAAGGGGCAGGCTGATAGGTGGGGGTCTGGATGAGTAAACAAGAAGACAGATGGACAGCAAGCAGTTGAGTAGAATGTGTCAGCAGTGTGGATGGCACAGAGCTGAATTCCCAGGGACAGCAGAGAGTTCTCTGCCTCGTGGCCTTCAGCATATACCTGGTGTCAGATGACAGGCTGCTGGGGCCATGGCCATTGTAGTAGTGAGTGTCCACTTCTTTACCGGGTCGGAGGGAGGAAGTTATATCCTTTCCTTGGTCTAGTGTTTCTGATGAGTTTTTGAACTTGCTTTTTATGATATGATTTTAATAGGCACTCATGTGCCCCTACAGTCTCAAATCACCCCAATAAATTTGAGGCTGAAAAGCACCTTTTCTATTTCTATTATAAATACTTTCAGGTTACCACCAAGCCAGTAACAAGATGGGGCAGAAGATCTGGGATGCAGTTCTGTCTTTGTTCCTCCGTGCTGCTGTGAGGCCTTACAGATGGGGTCACGTCCTGAGTGTTAGTGCGTTTCTCTGTTTGTCATGATAACGATACTCTTCCCACCTACCCTCTGCTTTGCTGCTGATCTGTGAAGTGAACATCCCTGAATGCTCTCTTGACCACTTTGTGGCTTGTCGTCTTCTCCAGGAAGATTCTGGACTCCTTCCTCAGCCTCCCAAGCTAGAAGTGTCTATTTTGAAATTTCAGAACCATCCTGCCCTTTCTCTTGAAGTTGTCCATCTCTGTCCATCTTGGTTCCAGTCAGTTCTGTTTGTGCCTCCTTATGCCTCCTGTCAGACTGTTAGTGCTTTGAAGGATGTATCTATAACTTCCTCATTTCTGAACCCCAAGGACATTCACATCTAGCAGTTCTTCACAGTCTGTAAACTGTCATGTCACTGTAGTGTCTTCATGAGCACTGATGGGGGAAAAGGATGACTTGAACATTTTAAAAAGACCCTCTTGGAGTCAGGTAAAGATCATTACTAAAATGAAATGTCCTTGGCGAGTTACATGACTTTTGCCTTTACTGGGTCTTTTAGAAACAACTGTTAATGTCACCATGCTTCTGTCTCTAGGGCCCACAGCAGTATTTGAAATGTACTTTAAAACTCTTTGAAAATGCTAGAAACACCCTTAAACATTTTCCATATAGTCAGCATCTCTTTAGAAGATATGCTGTGAACCCCAAGGACGTCCCTGTTAGCCTCCAAGCCAGGTCTTAGCTGTGGATGGGACACATGCTACAGTGTCTCCATGCAACCACATCTCTGTTACTGTCGTGGTTGAAGTCTTCACTGTGCCATCGGGAACCTTGTGAGGATGTCTGAACCGGATCACCCCCGCTTCCCGATTCTCATCTTCTAATATATCTGCTGTTCTCATCAGCAATCCTTCTTATGTACTTACTGAGATGTAATAATCAATAGAGTTGGAGACAGGCATGTGAAGCCCAACATATCCGGCTGGGTTCTTAGATGTTTGGCCTTGAGGAAGAGTCCCCACTCCCCAAACTTCAGCCCTCATCTGCTGTGAGCTTTATGTGAGATGGATTAGGAAAATCTGCCACTGTACCTGGGTCCTGTTCAGCACTTCCAAATCATTATCATGCTACTTTCTATTTTTCTCAAGTCACGTTTTGTCTTTATTTTTTATGAAGATTTATTTATTTATTATGTATACAGTGTTCTGTCTGCATGCCAGAAGAGGGCACCAGATCTCATTACAGATGGTTGTGAGCTACCATGTGGTTGCTGGGAATTGAACTTGGGACCTCTGGAAGAGCAGCCAGTGCTCTTAGCCTCTGAGCCATCTCTCCAGCCCCACGTTTTGTCTTTAAACTATACTTTTTCCATATGATAAATAGATTACTATCACACTTAGCTCTAATAGTTGATAATTCTAGGACCTGATAATAATTCAAGGGATAAACTATAATTCAGACAGGGAACTCATCAGAAAATTCTATACAGCTTCTCCCATCCTGATGCTCCAGACATCCCTCCCAACCCTTAACAGCTGTTCCCCTTTGGGTCTCCTCTGGTCTCTTCTGCCAGATGCTCTGGGACCAACTAGACGTAGACTTTCTTTTTAGAACTTCTGAGAGGGACTCAGGACCACAGGCCCTTCTGGTTTTCGGTGGCTGTTTTGGCCTATCAGTACATCCATGTTTCAGAACCCTAGGTGATCTGCATGGCCCCTACCAACTCTGACACCGTCTTCACTTCTGAGGGGTACTTCTCAGTTCATCACCAATACATGCTTACATGAGGAAATAGTCACCTCGATGGGAGCAGGGGAGGCGGATGGTATCTTATTCTCAGATGTCCTGTGGACATCACCTGGTGTAGGACAGAGATCCTGGCCTGAGCTCAGGCTGCCTGAAGAGCCTGATGAACAATCTGAGCATTTCATGTAACTCGCCTGGGCTTTAATCTGTAATAAGGGGGCTCAGTCACTGTCCAGCCTCCTGTTTGGCAATCTGCAAAGGTAATGGGTGCTTATTGGTGTTTTATAAGTGTCACAGGACACTACACAGAACTACAACCAAAACATTTTATGTGGAACACTGAACAATAAAATACAACCAAAACAACTATTTACACCAACTTGGAATTTGGGACATAAATTATTTATAAAGTAGGGATTTGCTCCTAAGTATGTTTTTGGCCTTCAATTAAATTCTTTTTAAACTCAGGCTCCATGCTACAATGGCTCCGGAATTAGAAATAATAAAACATTAGTTACACTGGTGGGTAATAGCTTTATTTAAAATGAGATGAAGTGGTAACTCAGTGTCTCCCAGGACGAAGTGAATGTCCTCAGGAAGCCATCCAGAGGCGGCAGCCTTTACTATAGGCATTAGATTGGTGGTTGAGATACATAGCACAACTTACATTTTATGTAGCAGTTTCCCCTTGCTATTATGATTGAGCCCCACAATTCCTTTGGGAATCTTTGCTATAACTCCTTTTACTGGCAGTGGGACTGAGCATCAAAGAAGTTTGTTTGCTTTAAATCCCAATCCCCACAGGAAATGACAAAGCCGGAGAAACTCTGAAGCAAGCCGGGGCTCAGGGCAAGCAAGGGTCTGCTGCCAGACCTTAGACAGTATGGGCTCCTCCAGCATGACATGCAGTCACCGCGTGAATGGGAGCTGGGCCTGCTTCACGGAGAGAGGATACGCAAAGTGTTCAGCATGGGGCTAGGCATTGACACGTCATAAAAGCTGGATATTCTTCGCCTTCCACCGCATTTTCCACTGAGCACAAGGGTGTTGACAAACACAGCCACAGGCATCTCCCAACTTACGCATTTCCCCCAAACCACCCAGGCACACACCCCTAGCAACCCAGTCTGGAACTGACTACACTACACGGTCACTTCCCTCTCATCTGGTGCGCCCTGGGTGCTGGGGGCTTTTCTCCACGCTCCCTTCCCCTCCCTCAGTCCTGGGATCCTTGCCACACCTTCCTGTACCTGCGTTCCAGCCTCCCAGCTCCGGAGCCTCCTCTGCGTGTCAGGTGACTATGGGGGTGCATCACTTCAGAAGGGAGGTAAAGAGAAACGGCTGTCCCCTCTCAGGGAGATGCAGCTCGTCACTCTAGGGCTTGGCTCCTTCCCTCGGCCTCTGTCACCCTGGCCAAGCTCCCCTGGAGTGAGTTGGCTTTGCCCTGGGACCTGGGGACGTAGCTGTCCCAGACTCAGGCAGCCTCTGGACCATCTGAGAAGTTGGCAGGAACACAAATTCGCTGGTGTTCCACACCAGCCCTACAGAACGAGAGGGCTGAGGGGGGAAAGAGGCAGTTGCACTCTTAGGGATTCTGCAAGCATTCTGGTGGGTGTTAAGATTTGAAAACCGCAGTTTTAAAGAAAAAAAAAAAAAAAACAACGAAGGAACGCAGACGCATAAGCTTTGATTCTTGCCAAGCACTGTGCTGACCTCTCAGGTTTTTGTCAAAGGCTATATGTTGGCTCCACAGACTGGGGTCTGGGCTTCGTGGAGGGGTGGAGGTACTTGAGTAGCTAACTTCAGCTTTGTCGGAGACGAAGGGACTAAAGAGGCAGCCAGTCTGCTATTTCCCGAGGACTTACTATGGACTGTGCCCTTGACACCCACCATTTCATTTAATTTTTATTTTAACGGCCTCTGAAGTAAGAGAATTCATCTGTGTAGATGTAGAAATCTGGAGTTGTGCTTTGAGGAAAGAGGAGATAGATGGGGTGATGCTGATGTGGGGCCACGGAGGACACAGGCTGTGTAAAGCAGGGGGAGAACTCATGTAGTGAATTATTATGCCCCAGATGGATGAACCAAGGGCTGGAAAGGAGACAGGACCATGCAGAAAAGTCGATGTCTACCAGCGCCTACTGACATGCTCACCAAGCCTGATCGGTAAACAGTTGCTTGCATTTGAAGACTGTTTTTGAACTTCGTATGTTAAAATGTTTTTGAATTTATAGAAAAGTTGTAAAAACAGTAGCCTCTCTTCCATTCTTTGATTCTCCCCCTGCCTTTCTGTCTCATCATCCTCGAGACCACAGAGGACAGACTTAAACTCTGCTTTCTGAGTCATAAGATTTACAGTCAATCATAAGAAATACTACAGACATGCCCCGTGTATCCTTGAGGGCATTTTGCCCAACAGGAAGATCGTGTGCAGAACTTAAATATTTGTTTAAGCATTCTCTTTTCTTATTCAGGCTCAACCTCATTCAGGGCGAGGTTCTCAGACCTCCTCGGAGGAGACACTTGAACCTTCTGAAAGACCTTCTTCAGCCCTGTAGAGCCCTGCTGGCTACTGAACAGGTGGAAGCGGGTGGGGAGGTCACAGGTGCAGGGTTGTAGGAACAGGAAAGTTTCCTGAGACTGTCCTAGTGAGGGATCTGGAGCCCAGAGCCAATCTCTGCAGAACGAAAACTCACCCTGTCCACACGCTTTGCTGAGCTGAGCATCCGACTGACCGTTCTGTGACTCTGCTCCCTTGGCGGCTGCTTCGTGCCTCCTCTCAGCGGCCGCTCACATCAGCAGCTGACTACATGGGAGAATGAATGAACTCCAAGCAGGTGCATGTCATAGAGGCACTCTTCCTTCAAAGGGCACCTTTGTTGCCTAGGCATAAGAATAGCCAGGGCCAGCCAACCAGAATCACCGCCAAGCGGTGTGTGCCTTGCCGAGGGAAAGAGCTTCCTAAAGCTGGCTGACAGGATGGAGTGCTCCAAAGTAAGGTTCTGGAACCTGGGCGATGACAACTCTTTTAAGTGCTGGGAGTGCTGGGACCCTGTGGCGACCTGTGTTCTCACCTCTCTGACTTACTACAGTCCTTCCTACGTGAGTTGAGAGAAATTCAGTTCACATGTTCCTGGACGATTTTCATGATTTTCAGAAGATGGCACGGTTATGGTTGCGCCCCTGGATGTTGATGGTGTTGCTTTCTTTATTGCATTTGGAGCCCAGTCCCTGACGGAAAGCCAGCTGGTCCATTACTGGACAATGAGCGAGAGCAAAGGGCACAGTGTCTGCGGGCAACGCCCGCCAGAGCACCGCAGTGTCCAGCGAGAAATGGGAGAGGTCACAAGCTACATGAGCTCTGCCAGGCCTGCTGGCAGGACCTGGGAGAGGTGGAAAAAGCGAGGCGCTGCAGAGGACCTGGGAGGCTTCTGGTGCAGAGGAAAATGGGGGTTGCCAGGCCAGGCCAGCACCAGCTTACCGCCTGTCCAGCCTGGGAAAGTTAACTTGCTCCCCGAGGTCTCTCACCCTCCTTCTGGAGCCCGGGATCTTTGTAGCCCCAAAGAGACTATTAATTTATTGTAGGAATCTTTAGTGTCTTATTATGAATAATATTTGGCACTGCCTAAATAAATGTTTTTCCAAGAAATATTTTCGCTCCATAATCTTCAATGAGAGATCCGTTTTATACAGTCATCCAGTACCGTGCATACCAAGTGACCGCCAGGGAAGTTTCACGAATCAACGTTTACCCTTCCTACAGAACAAATACGTCAATGCAGAGGCCTTCCTGTAGAAGCTGCAAGGCTTCAATTGTGGGTGGGGTGGGGTGGGGTGGGGGGAAGGCCAGTCCATGTAAGCTGTAGTGCGGGAATGGCAAGGCCGCCGATAGCAGATCTGGAAACTTCCACACTTCACCTGGTAGGCAGAACTGGTTTTTAAAGTGAGTTGCCCCTGAAGATAAGATCTAAAAATAAAGGTTGTCTTACACATACTTGTAAAGCAGGGGCAGTCATCGCAGACAGTATTTTAAGTGAAGAAAGCTAAACATCAAAGACAAGGGTTGTATGGTTTCATTTATATGAAATTTCTAGAAAAGCAAAACACTAGAGAGACAGAAAGCAGGCCAGAGTTTGCTGGGCTAAAGGAATGCACAGAGGAGGGAGGGGGCTGTGTGTGGGGGGAGAGGGTTCTGAAACCGACGATGGCCGCGTATCTGCATTCACTTAGTAACACCGCCCAGCTGTACAGTGAGAGCGCACAAACGCACGATGTAAAGGTTGAAGCTATGCGAGGTGTGGGGACTGACCAAACTAAGCCTGACGTGGAGGCGATAGGTGATCTTGTTCATTTGCACTGTGTTCTTCAGGGATGCTGACTCTGGTCTAAACCTCTCAGTATTTATTGTCTCCTCACTCCATATCTACAGCATCATTAAGTTACGTGTGGTTTATAAACAGCTAGTGGAAAACCGTAGGAAGGAGTAGGTGGACGCCCCTTAGATTTATCTTGGAAACTAAATTCCTTCATAAGCAATGGGGTTTTATAAATCCAAGCAACTGTTAGATTTATCTTTTGTATTTTGTAATATTTGCAAGGATGATAGCTCACCATGTTGTCCAGGATAACTTTGAACTCTTGGCCTCAAGTGGTCTCCCTGCCCCAGCTCCCTGGGGAGCTGGGATTGTGACATCAGCTGTCTGCATGCTTATATACAACAACTAACAAATGCCATGAGTAGACCGTAGCAAGCTGCAGTTCCAAGCACACACGTTTGTCATATTTACGGCTGGTTTTGACTACATGCGAGGCATGGAGAGGACTGTTTTTCTTTGGGGCTTAGGATGGGAGCCAGCTATGTGCGGTCCAGTTCCCTGGCTTGCTAAGCAGCTCTGTGGCTCCGCCCTTGCTCCAGTTCCACCGAGATAGTCCTTTGACCCCCATCCCAGACCTGCAGAAGCAGACGTGGCCTGGGGTCTTCGTGCGCCATTCATACAAAGTTTCTCCAAGTATCCGGGGGTATTTATAAGCCTTATTTGCAACCGCACCTTTTGGTTATTCCGTTTTGAGAGTGAGTCCCAATTTCCAAAGACGTGGACCCAATTTATGATTAAAACGCCATTTCTTGTAAATACGTGAAAAAATATGTTATCAGAAAAGAGGATCTTGTTTCAATAACCACAGCACTCGTGGTTTCGTAGCTTTAGACAGGGGTGAAGTAGTAGATGTCAGGGTAGAAAACCTTAGATGCTCTGCATTGGTGACCTCAGTTCCTCAGCTTTTCAAGTCTCCCAGCCCCTTTTTTAGCAAAATGGAGAATGTGCCTGTTCTTCTTGCATGGCTGCGATGATATTTGTTCAGAAGCCGCTGAAGGGAGGGGAGATTTATTTTGGTTCATAATTTCAGAGAAATCTCAATCCTTCAGGGTGGGAAGGCCCGGCAGGGGCATGGCTCTGTCTATAGTAGGAGGAGCAAGAGACCCGGACTGCCTTACAAAGTGGGACCAGGAAACGGAGGTGCAGAGTGAGGGGTGGGAGGGTGGAGCAGACTTCAAAGGCCCACCCTAGTGACTTCTGTGTTGCCAGACAGGCTCCCAAAGGCTTCAAAATAGTACCACAATCTGGGAACCCCGAGTACGGAACATGAACCTATGGGGGATCTTTCATGTCCAAACCACAACAGAGACTGTCATCCATGGATGCAGCAGTTGTTTGACACTGTTAATTAATCCAAGTCAACCCTCTTGTATTTGCACTTTGAACCCAGCAGCACAATTCACTTTTACATAACTGAAGCCAATGTGCGGCTCTCTGCTCTAGACTCCCAGTATCTTTTCGAATCTCCACTCAGTTGTCAATAGATGCCATGACTTCACTGAGATGTGTATCAACTCCAGTTTTACTAGGTGAGTTTTTGCAGTATGGCGTTTCCTACCCTTCCCTACCTTTAGTTGCCCCACAGCCTGGCTTGTGCACCTACATTGGCTCTTCCACACCCGCTCATTGAAGGAGGACCTTCTTTCTTGGATTCAGGGGCCCTCTTCCAGTCCAGAGCATCTTCCTCCTCAAACTCTGGCCCTGCATCCTGCAGACACTGTTGTGGCTGCTCATCCTCACGGCACAGAGACTCCAGCCTTCAAAAGTAGCATCCTTCTCTGTCCCTGGGTTCCCCTTCCAGCCGTCCTCCAGAATCCCTCCACTTTCTTCCTCAGTGGCGCCTCGAGGGCAGTGGTTCTCAACCTTCCTAATGCTGTGACACTTTAATACAGTTCTTCAAGTTGTGATGAGGCTCCCCTCCACCCCACATCCTTAAAATTATTTTCGTGGCAACTTCATATAACTGTCATTTTGCTCCTGCTATGAATATGTGAATATCTGCGTTTTCTGATGATCTTAGGTGACCCCTGTGAAAGGGTCATTTGGGGTCGCGACCCAGAGGTTGAGAACCACTGCTGTAGACAGAGGCCTGCTTCCAAGCGATATTTATTATCTTTCCCTCAGCTCCTGAGTCTCCTCTGCTGTCTGTCTTCTGTCCCAGGCACCCCTGGAGGACCCCGGGTTCCTGCATCCAGTCAGTCTGTCTTCTGCTCACGCCTCACTCAGCCATCTTGCTGGCTTTGTTTCTGTAAGTGTTTTTAAGAACTCTGTTCCCTTGCCCCGCCCCCCTGCCCCCCCCTTCCCCCCCCGCCCCCCCGCCCCCCCCCCCCCCCCCCCCCCCCCCCCCCCCCCCCCCCCCCCCCCCCCCCGCCCGTACTGTTCCTGTCCATCTCTCTTCCTTGTTTTCTCCGGCGACGCCAGTGTGGCTCAGGAACCATGAAGTACTCAAACGCCTTGCTAGCCAGGCAGCTGCACTGTGGACAGCCTCTCCTGGGCTCCTGTGCCATTTGCCTGAATCATGCTCTTTAATGCTTCTCAGCCCACCATCCCCACTGTGGGTCTCTCAAGACCCCTGTCATCCTTAGATATCCAGATGCTGTTGTGATCTGGCCCCTGTGTAGTTCTTGAATTGGCCGCTGACCCCTGACTCTCAATGTGCTCTGTAACCAGAGGTACACTCTTTACACACACACACTGGCTTATAATGCTGAGTATGGCAGTTCCTATTACTGAAATGCCCTACACGACAGCCCTTCTAAACTCACCTTCATGGCTGTGCGTGGTGGTGTGTGCTTGTGACCCCAGCACTTGACAGGCTAGGACAGGAGAAACAAAGGCCACAAAGTTTCAGTTCAACCTAAATCATACAGTGAGATCTTATCTCAATATTCAGAAACTGAAAAAAAAAACAAACAACAAGAACACCACCACATCCCAAAGGCTCTCATCTTCAAGTCTTGGAAGCTGCATTGAGCATGCCAGCTTGAGCCCAATGTTTCCTCTCTGTCCTGAAGGCTCCCCTGTGTCAGTCGTGTGGTTTAACCACCCTCAGCACTGTGGTTAACGAGGACTAGCTGGGCTCAGATTGGAGGACCTGAGTGTGTGTCTCCAGTCTCCAGAGAACAGGTGCAGGATGGGCCCTGGGTGCAGTGTGAATGGGACCTCCAAGAGTCTGTTATAGAAAAAGAAGGAAGCTAGAAAGTCAAGAATGACCACAGTTTGAATAAAGGATTCTGTTTAGAGGGAAATTCCCAGAAAAGTGGCAGCAGAGAGGGTGTACAACTGTCCCCATCTCTACTTGAGATGTCCCGTCACAGGGAGAGCATAGAGTGATAGGGAAGTCACGTTGCGGCGCTGCAAAGAACTGGAGAGAGTTGGGCAATGAGAAAGAAGATCTGGCCCTGTCTCTAACATCATATCAGAAGATTATGAAGTTTCTGAGTACCAACATACAAGTAAGCAAAGATGGGTGGGTTAAAGGTAATCTAAGATACAACTTGGTGCAAATTGGGGTGTGAAATGAGCAGTAACAGATGTTAGCCACCAGGTGACACTAGAGGATTTCCTTCAGCATAAACGTGGTTTGTCTCCCTTCCTCAGCCTAAATGCAATTCTGAGATTTGGAGAAAGTACTCCTTTTGGAGGATGCCTTGAAACGATTCATTAGCTGCCTTTGAATATGTACATTTAAAAAGGTCAGCCCGCTTCCACCAGTCTCAAAGCATTTAGAGGTTGTCTCCATACTTTTCCCAGCAGCTTTGGCTCCGACACCATATCCTGGATACAGGCGAGGAAGTGATCTGTCTTGGTCCTAGTGGGACCTCTTGCGTACCCCTCATTCTAGAGGATGGGTATGGATGGCAGGAAATTGCGTGGGTTCTTTG